TTGCAGCAGGTAATCTCCGAAACTACTCATCCGATTTCAAAAATTCTTTCACCAATATTTAGAATGGAACTTCAGGGTGGACATAGGCTGTATATTATTCCGTTAAACATGGGGGATGGACAGTTCTTTACGGTAAGCCTTCCTCGTAAAACTTGCTTCTATTTATACTATTTTAGATGCGGGTTTTTGCGTTTTTGATTGCGTTTTAATAGGGTACGTCAACAGAATGTACACTAAGAAGAAATTTTTCGAAAAATTTCTTCTATTATAAATTTATAATAGATACATTTTGAGCCACAACAACACGTGGCGGGGTCTGCTAGTTTATATATATACAGGGTGTACCAGAATGACGTTTTAAAAATTCGGGGGATTGTAGAGGATGAAATTTTGAACGTTTTGATATAAGGAACTTATAGCCGGAAATTTGAACTAAAGTGTATACAGCGGTAGGAAGTGCTTGACCGCCCTTCACTTTGGTAGCAACTCTTCTGTCCATTAACGTCATGTTATTGCTGCGAATGGAAGACTGTAAACACACAACTACAGTGTTCCAACTGAGCCTGTATACAGGACGTTGTGTACTTAATGCTTGTCGTTCTTCAGGTCACCCCTTGCATCCACTGGCGCTGTGCTGTAAACACACAGCTAGTCAACGTGAGTCAGTGTACAATTGTCTGCTTATCGTGCTTCACGTACTGTAGATACGTTCTGGCGTCATGGAGGGTATCTACACATTTGGAGAACTTGCTAATATGCGTTTGTGTTGTGGTGAAGCTCGAGGGAATGCCAGTGCAACATACCGACCGTATAGAACATGCAAAGTGCTGTAGAAACTTTCTATCACATTTCCGGCTATAAGTTCCTTATATCAAAACGTTCAAAATTTCATCCTCAATACAATCCCCCAAATTTTTAAAACGTCATTCTGATACACCCTGTATAGTATATAAATGTCACTAGAAAATGTTTTTACAATAGCATTTCTTTTTAAATAAAATTATTTTTTAATAACAAAAATTAAAAAGGCGCCATTTTTATTCTTGGCGAAAAGCGTCCAAAATCCTAGTTACGGCTCTGACTCTACAATTAATCTTTTAAAACAATCCTGCATCCAGATAAAAGAAAGGTTATTGCAAATTTAGATATCAGTTAAAAATCTATAACGTCTCGAATGGTAACGTCCCTGATGGATACGCGCAGAAAATAAAGGATTAACACTAAGGGAAGGTAAACAGTTATTTATACATTAGCGAAAAACACTAACAGGTCTTAACTGAAAAGATCCGTTGGTTATTAATGGAAATATCTTACGATTGCTTACCGAAATGCAGTAACAACAACGAAATTAATGCTGTAGAATAGGATAAAAAGATTCCTCTGTTTCCAAATTACAAATGCAACAAGCTGCACATCACTCTGAACTTGAATTAACTTGCATTTTCAGTTTATTTAGAACTCCTCGTCAGCTAAAACACAATAAATATTCAATTAAAAAACTTTAAAATTTACCTTTCTACTATATTCTAAATTGAGACTTACCGTGATATTTTCCACATACAACGTAATTATTAGCAGGTAACGTGTTAGGGTGTAATACAGTATGTATCGCGCCTGGTATTTTAAGGATTTAAAATTAAATTTCGTCTGAAAAATAGTGTTAATAATAAATTATATGTGTATTTTACCTTAAACGCAACCAATTTACCTGTATTAGACGATTATAATTTGTAAAAGCGTCTAAAACACACTCTAACTGTACGTTATATTCCAAACACTAGAAATGTCTTAAGTTTACGTCACTTTCAGTAATTTGCATAATACAACCACACGAAAATATTTTATCCATGACTGGATGGAAAATACATTTTATGAGCGTATAATTATTTCTTCAAAATTGAATAAAAAAACATATTAATGTGCCGCAAAAAATGTGTTATAAATTATACTAATGCAATAAATTATTTAAAATTGTACAAGAATCATAGAATCTTGTGCCAAATATCGTTAAACATAGAGCCTTGATTGAAATAAATTATTTGATATTTTTATAAAATCATGTTATAGTAGTTTACAAGTGTCATTTTCAATAGCAGTGTGTATAATGTGTATCGTTTATATTACAATTGAATGATTGTGCATGGGAATAAATGAAAGATTGACTGCAGTTCAGCCTTATTGCTGCTTTGTGCTCTTTAAATCGATTCTGAAGTAGTCACAGAAGGCACGTATTAAGCACGTTAAGCATTTTCCACGACCATCAGACAATTATTTTCATGGCATTGGGTGGGGGGCTGAAAACGCTTGTTTAGAGGGATTAAAAGTTTTTATGTCAAAATATTAATTTTAGTGCGAATGAAAATCTTAAAATCTTGTTATTTTATAGGTATTTGGGGATGGATGACAACAATTGGGCTTGATGAATTACTCTCTTTTATGGGAAGCTGGTTCTTCACAACATGTGAACAGTTTGAAACATTCCCTCTTTGCAGCTTTAGAAATGTTGTTTGGTCCAATCTGGATAGTGTATAGTGTACGAGTGCGATCGTTCGCCGGTGTGTATATCAGGTATTTTGGCTTTATCCTACGGCCAGTGAAAGCAGCCGACTTAAATCTCATCGAAAATCTGAGGGTACAATTAGATGCTTGTTTGTTTGTTTTGTTAAGTTACGGCGACGCAACACTTGGGCGATCTGCCTCGGCCCCTAGAGGGATGCTTTCCGGGAGATCTTTTTAAGGGTAGTTGGCCCTTATTCAGGCGTTACAAACGAGAAGAAAACCCAGAAAACTCCACGTGGCCAGCCCGTTCTGACGAGACGTGAACCACGACCGAACTCCTAATGTTCAGGGAACGGAACCGCTTGCTCACTGGTGGGCCCTACTAGATGCAAAACGAATCTTAAGAGTTCTGAAGATATATAGAACATCACTTATAACTATTAGAACTGTATTGCATGGACAAGCTTATGCGATAAACTGATACAGTTTGACAAACAGACTGAAAGAAGTTATAAATAATGGTGGTCTTTATATTTTATTAGTATTTGGTCCAATAAACAATTACAGTTGTATACTGTATTGGGTTGATGCAAAACTTTCAGGAAATTGTTAGTTTTATATTACAAAATTTATTTCATAAACAAAAAGTAGTTCGCTCAAGAAAATAATTACTATTACAATTCAAGCCTCTTTTCCATCGATTGGACAGGTCACGGGTAGTGGCAAATGTGCAATGTTAAGCCTACAGACAAACATGTCAAATTCTCCAATGCGTCATTTAGCGATTTAGCTTTTTTAAACTGGTTTTTTGCCTCCATCTTGTTAATTTACTCCTAATTTAGGGAGAAATCAGCAGGATAGAGGAAAATTTAGGCAAAAAATGTAACATCTGCCCATATTGGTTAGTGGAGTTTCAGAAACGAACAGGCGCTTTTAAAAGTCATGATTCATGACTTTTGGAATTGACTCATGATTGCATTAAAGAGGCAGTCATGCAGCGAGATCCGGCTCAATTTACTTTGTCACTTAATACTTTTGTTCAACTTTGCCCATGCCGCTTGCGCCCTAAAAAGAAAATTTGTTTCTCAGGATTGTCAAAAGTTTTCTAATATTTTCAATATACATTGTACTTGAAAAAAAGTATTAAGGTAAACTTCTTCAGATTTTAGGTGTAACTCTGTTATTTATAGGGAGAATTTTAGGTCTGTTTAGTATTTTTTCACGACATAATGTTGGTAACACTGCGCCAATATCTGTTTTTAATTTACCGTTACTCTACGATGAAACCAAGACTCGTTACTTAGTGATGTTTGATGGATTTTCAACAAACTTACCAACACAAATATGAGTAAACTCGAACATCCGACAGTTGGTAGGTCTGTGAATTTTATCCGCGAAGTCCAGAACAAGACGATTATTGCCCACCCGTGACAAAGTGGATAAACCACTGAACACTTGTCGTAGGTTTGCGCCTGGCCAAAGGGTTGGCCATGTGGTGTTTCTAGAGTTTTCTTCACGTTACTACCACGTAAATAACACCAAAATCACGTGTTGGAATGTTAACAAGTGTTTTGATCCACTGACCCAAGAAAACAGAATTGCTGTGGTTGTGCGAATGTTTGAGTGGATTAACATGGAAGTATCATCAAATCCTGCTCCATAGCCTTCAAGAGACCGTGGCATATTTCTTGGTGGATGGTATAGTTTCTTCTCCTCCTACAGGTTGTAGTTTCTATACGTTGAACCGTTTCGTACGGTATGGTGGATTTCTCGGAACGTTGTTCATCGTATATAGTACATTACCCATTCCCCGAATTTGATATTAAACAGTCTTATATTTTGCTCTAGTGGGAAGATACTTCCTGAATTTCTTAGTGAAGCTTGTATCTTCGTGCAACCAGTTTCTCAACTTTAGATTTAACTAAAAATATTACCGATAAACAATTATATTTGTTATATATAGCCTAATAACATGAATACAAATAAGCCAATTATAAATAGAGCATGAGTAGTAGTTTACTACGAGAAATTAAATCGTCTATAAAATTTAATTTGACATTTCGTTATTTCTGTTGATTTTTTGAAACAATAGAAAAGTATTAAGTAACAAGGTCAAAGTATTTAAACAAAAACTCAGTCTTTGTATGATAAACTACGATTGAAAGAGTATAATAATGCTATCATTTTATGATATTTAATCTTTAACCGCCTATGTGTAAGCCCTTGACATTAGTCACGACAATCATATAACACGTGGAAATAATAAGAAAACCATATTTTAAACAAACGTTTATAATTTATTTTAAGGTATATTTTTATTTATTTTAGTAAACTATATCGTAAAATTTACACTTGGTACACTTTGATGTCATATTGACGTAAGTGGTGTTAGAAAACTGTTTTATCTAGAGTCTAGAGCCTGTAATGCATGTGTGGGTAATATATACCGTTGTAAACAATTCTTTTCGTGCATAAAAAACATCAAAACTGCCGAAAGAAATAGGTTGAGTGATTCCCATTCAACTAACATTCTTAGAATTAAGACTAGTATCATAAAAGCAGATATTGACAATATTATAGGCTAAAAGAAAGGCAACGTCAAAAATCGCATTGAATTTATTTTTATTTTGTGTGAGAATAATTTATTTTTTTACTGTCAATAATACAGTATTTTTTATAATTATATATTTGTTATTAAAATTTAATATTCACATTTTAAACTTTTGAAAAGCATATATTTATATAAAGTATCTTTGTGCCCACTGAATATACCTAAATTTCTAATTTGGTCCATTCGGAAAAAAGGTTGGACAACCCTGTATTACAATATCTTGAATATGTTGTAAATTTAATGATTAACTGAAACAAATTTTGAGATAATTATTTCCAAGGCAGTCTGATAACTTTTATCAAATCATTTAAGAAATTTTAAAATATAATTATAATATATATGCAATTATTACGAACAAAAATCAAAGCCGTAATTGAGCATCTGTGATGCTTCTCATATTAAGATCAAGGCTGTCAATTTGGCAACATGTCCTCAATAAATCATCCGTTTTAAGTGTTTCCACAAATAATTACGGTTTGTTAGATATGAACGCATTGTTTATACCCGTAAGATTTGACATTTTTAGAAAAGTGAACCAATATTCTTCTAACGGATGAATAAAAATAAAAATAAAAAAATAAAAACAAGTTATTGGTATCCTTTCCTAATAAATTATATGGAGCTGTTTAAAAGCAATTTTCCAAATTATCCTGTATTNAGAGTTAATTATATTGAACTTGCTTATTTATTAAGTGCGTTAGATAATCTATTAATTAAAAATACATTTAGAGAAGTCTACGGTTTTTACTGGCTTATCGAACAAACGAATACGAATGGACCATAGACCATCACTGACTGATTGCGCCTGGAAGTCGGCTTGTTACAAAAACACAGCTTCCCTATCATCAAATGTCACGGCACGCCCCTGTATTTTACAATATATATTCACGAGTATGACTGAAATGTACAAACCAAATCATAGTTAACTGAGTTTTGAGCCAACCTTTATTTACGAAACAGAATATACTGAATCCAACGCTGATAAATGAAGTAAATACGAACTACTGAAAATGTAAATATTAATCAAAACTTAATATTTATTGTGGTAATTCGTCTAATTGACAACGATAGAAATCAACATGGTAATTATAGAGTAGATGCTCCGAGCTCTCTGTACAAAGAACAATTGGATAAATCTCAACAATGTTTAGTACTGTCCTGAGATGCGGTTTAAATTTTTGCAAAAAAAAAACTTTGTTTTATAATTCAGTCTGAGTCAAAATGTGGCAATTTTTTCCCCTTAAAATACATTATTAGATATGTTTTTTAACGAATTTAGGGTATGTATCGCAAATCATTTAGCTTTCGAGTGTATTGTGCAGGGGGATGCAGTTCTTACAGCATAAAAATGTAAAACACAGAGTCGTATCTTTGATAAAATTCCATCTCCACATCTGTAATCGAAATAAGACGAATGCAATTTATTTGTTAACTTCCGAAATTTTTCAGAAAAAGTATATATTGAAGAGACAGCAGCGCCAAACTATTCCCCAGCGACTAAACTTAGAACTAAATGAGGATGGGGAAAGATGTTCTACCCATTTATTCTAAGAATGTAAAACGTTTCTGATAATACAGTAGAATAGTAATTTTGTTGATTGAACAATTTTGTCGCCATTCTACAGAATATAAATTCATCTTCTACAATCCTCGCCTCATTTAAAAGAAGTTTTGTAGATATTATTTGAAAGAGGTTTTGTAGATATTATTTTACGATAGTATATATGCTGTATTTCCATTTATTGAGAACAATATTGAAATAAAAGGTAGCCAAGGTATGGGTTATATATAACACATGCTATTTGCATTTATAGCGTGTGTTATATATAAATGCAAATAGCATGTATGTCTGTTCCAGCGTTAGGATTAAAGTAATTAACTTACTAACATGAAGTGCTGTTCTTGAGTAAAATTGCAGGTACAAGAGTGGAAATATATGCTCTTTTGATTGACGAAAGCTTTTTCATAAAACATTATTTATGTCTTATTTAAAATAAAAATATGTAATTAATTTTTTAATAAATTAAAATGTTTAATATCAGTTGGTAAAATTAAAACGTCTATAATTATTGAATTTTGTATGCAGTATATGAACATATTTATAATTATGACTTTTATATATTGCTGAAATGGCAACTTAGCCTAAGGGGCCGTCCATAAATTACGTAAGGTGTTTTGGGGTGGGTGGGGGTAAAGGATTTCTTACTATTTCTTACTCAGGGGTAGGGGGTAATAGATCTCGTCTTACGTAATATTCTTATTTTTATTTTTTGATCTCGTTGAGTGGTGGCGTTTTGAATTTGGCTTCAATTTGGCGGTTTCTATTAAGAACGCTGGTTGTCTCGTGTGACGTGATAGAGTAATAACGCTAGCAGATTTACGCTCTACACATTTTCTGTCATGGGAGAAAGGCCGTGTGGTGGTTTCTCTCTCTTGTTTTTTATTAGAATAAGTGCACCATTCCTTTGGGTTGTATAACACTAAGAATACATAAACCAAAATGCATAATACAAAGTAAGCATAAAATTAGTATTCGGCTTTCAGTGAAAACTAAAATGTAAAACCAGAAATTATAAATAGTCTTTTCTTTCATATTTTTTAACATCATTGTAAAAAGCATGAAATAGTGGTTTCTGAACAAGCTTATCGAGTGGACGTGGCCACCCGAAACCAAGCGTAAAAATTTCTAATCTCAGAATAAGTGTATGTTGATCGTAAATTGGACAATGATAGATCATATAGTCGACGGTGTCTAGGTTTTCTGTACACAAAAGCAAGGAGCAGTTTCTGCCCGGTTATACATCGCTTGGTAGCTTCTAAAATTACCATGCTCAGTAAGTAGTTGAGCAGTAGCAAACGTTAAATCTCTAAGTAGTGATGAGAACCTGCATTCAACACTAGGAAAATAAAGTCTTGTTATTCTACCAGTTTTACTGCTTAACTACTTTTACTGGTTCCACTTTTGCATAACGTTGTTACGAATATAATTTTTAAGGCTGCTACGTGAGAGAGGGATGCGAATGTAGTCCAAATCAGTGTCCTTAGCCTCAAAGTCGTCTTTTTCATTTCCTAGTATGCCAGTATAGCCAGGAACAAATATAGAAGTTATCTTATTTACATGGTTTTTAATATGGTGCTGGATATATGCGATTTTATTGCTATTGCAATTGGGATTTAATAGAGCTTTTAGGACAGACAGAGAATCACTGTAAATGTTGATAGACAGAGTTTCGTTTGGTAGTGAAGTGGCCCACTGAACAGCTTGGTAGTCGGCATCTTCTTCAGCTTAATAGATGGAGGTATGTTGGAGGTATCTGTACCTTCTAACATATTTTTGGCAAAATATGTCAGTTTGGATGAAGATACAGATAATTGAGCCGAAAAGAAGTGAACTTTTGGACCCATCTGTGAAGATATTAATGTCTGCGTGATTATCCATGGAGGAAGCAGATGACACCAAATAACCTTGTTCACAGGATGATGATCAGAGATAGTAGGGTAATTGCAATGTGGTAGCGTATGAACAGCCGTAGATAGGAGTAGAGATTGTTGTTGAGCCTTGACGTTTGTAGTTCTGATGTAGTAGTTTAGAACCTTTTCTACGATACATAGTGGCAAAGGAATAAGCTCCGCTAGTATCAGAGAGGCATTAGTAAAAACTGTTCTGCCGCACTTTGAAATTCTGATGTCAAACTGGCTTTGAAGAGAGAGTAATTTACTTGCTACTGAACTTTTATTAGTTACATGATCACAGCCAGAGGCCGCGTAAAGTAGCATTGGTTGTATTGCCCCATTATATAGAGTTTTATAAGCTTTATTATTTAGTCCCCAAGTGCACCTAACACATTTTAGCAGCATGTAGTTTATTTTCTTGGCCTTAGCCAAGATGTAATCAATATGGCAACGGAATATAGTTTCTTTCTATTCTCTCTTGTTTTATCTTGTATGATGTTTCTTTTACACATGCTCAAGCTAGTCGATCTGACAAAGTTTTTTGCGTCTTTTGCGAACATTAAAATTAATATAAAAACAATTATAATGACGTTGATTAATGATGATGATAATAATAATAATATTGTTAATAATTAAAAAATAAAGTTCTTAAAATAAATTGTTCATTCGAATTCATTAAATTTTTATATTTTAAAATGTGTTCACATAAAGTCTTTTATAAATATTAGTACATATTAATTAACTAGTTAATAATTATATATTTTGGACCTAATGTGTTTAGGGTTTCATTAAAAACATTTTTTTGGTTAATTTAAAATCTTTCTATAAAATCATGCCAAAATATTACGTAAGATAGGAAGGGGAGGGGGGATAAAAAGAAAATATTACTTTTTCTTACACAGGGGTGGGTGGGGGTCTAGAATGGCCGAAATCGCCCTTACGTAATTTATGGATGGCCCCTAAATACAATAATTTACTTACGGAAAAACAATAATTGGAAGTATGATGATAGATCCTGCTATTATGTATGACATACCGGGAAACACATGGATGGAAGCATTAAATATCTGAGTAAATACTAAATTACCAGCAACAGGAACTAGAGATTCGCAAGATGATAAAAATGCAAAGATTTTACCTGAAAAACAAATATTCTACTTACTAAACATTGAAACATATAATATATCGATACTTCATCAACTTCCTCTTCAAAATACCTAACTCCTCTTCTGATACAATTTTAGAGAGTCTGGCTCTCACTGCCAACATACCCATAGTGCCGAATATACCAAGAGCATTACCTATACGAAAAGTCCTAGTTAATATATACATCATATATTTCTATTATTTAATAATAAACTTAATAATAAAAGTGAATATTCGAACCTAGATAATATAGCCATGATTCGTATGCAAATCCTTTAACAATATCTGATAAAAACATGGAGATGCTGCCAATTATACCCAAGCAATAATCTTTCATTTTCAAAACTTTTACGAGAAGAGGTACGGCAAAAACGACAAAAAACATTCCAGCAGTAAGGAATGCAGAATTAACATTAGAGTAAGTAGTTACGTCCCAACTGTACATTTCCTTGGCAAAGTAAAATGCAAATCCGCTTATAGCTACCAACAATTAAAAGTTATACGATTATAAAACGTATTCATTTTTATATTTATGATTGAAATATGACTAAAATTGTTTACACTATTCTTACTAACCTGTATAAGTAGAGATTAAAGCGCACATTGAACCTATCAATAACAAAATTTCCAATTTAGTTCCGTTCGGCCGAGGCTTCGTTACTGTATGATAACTTTCTTTAAAGTTTTGGAAAGAGAATAAATCACAAACAATTTTACCGTTCAAAGCATTCCGTAAGTTTCTACTGTCTTTAACAACTATAATTAACCACATTATAGCCATTACTTGCGAAACTATTCCTATTATATACACGTATATATAACCATACTTCTTATAAACCATTCCACCAATAAATGTGCCAAGTGGAATACCCACACCATACGCTAATTCTAGGAGTGCATATTTTATGGTTCTTTGTTTCTTGGTGGTTTGATCGGAGATTAAACTGTACATACACATCAAGGTTACTGTGAAACCTCCAGATATTCCTGAAGGCAAGGCACTGATAACCATCCAATATAACGGGGCGTCAAAATAAATTATATTTAATATAATACCAACGTTTTCTAATCCTAAACCAATTATTGCCAATAACACGGGCAATTTTCTTCCATATTTGTCACTCCAAGGTCCTATAACCATAGAAAAGAATACCGCTGGAACAGTTTGTATTAATGTGTTATATAGGTTATAGTTGTCTGCAGTCGTTTCTACTTGTTGTTTCTCTTTGGTATAATTATCGATATTATTACACACATTAGCAGAAAATCCGTAAATATTCAGACAAGCTTTATCTATAAAGATATTTTGTGAGCATACACGTCCCACGACATAAGAGAACATGAAGAGAGCCATAAACGGTTCGATTGTCAGGCTTTTAAGAAAACGTGAACATGTGAATTTATCTGTTTGTTCAGATTTTTGAACTGGTGGTATAAGTGGAGTCGATTCTTCCTCTTTCCAATTTGTATCTGATAATACAGGTTCGTCCATTTCTTCTACAATAGTCATTTTCCTCAATAATAATGTGTTTCAATGTGAAATAATTAAAGCAAGTAACAGAGTTCTTTTCAATACACAATTGAATTGTAGATTGATAGTTTGCAGCACAACCTTATAATTTATAAACCTGTAAGAAAGTAATAATAAATAATGCTTCTAGCCCACTACTTTAATTTAGATTGAATTAGTTATCCTAATAAATAGAGTTGTAATAAATTGGAGGGCTTATTTCATCAGGGTTGACTGGAATAAATAGACTAGATTTTACAAAAAATAGTAGCCTTCAATATCCCCAACCAAATTTTGATAAATACGGTACAACATCAGCATACATGTATGCTGATGTTGTATTGTATATATGTAAGCTTAAGAGGTGTCTTTGTACTCGAAATGCATTCTTACCAAAATTTGATTGGGGTTATTAAAGGCTACTATTTTTTTACCCTATTTATTAGGATAACTAATTTAATCTAAACTGTAAGAAAGTATTTAAGTTCATAAATTTCTAGCAGAAAAAATACTACATTATGTTAATTGTATAGAATTTATAAATATACAATATTATTATTATTGTCTACTGTTTGTTTTTCATTCATGTTAACTTTATTATTGCAATATTTCAAAAGCTTATTTTTAAACGTTAAAATATTATATCTATGGTAACAATAATAACTTGAGTTCAGCTTCATTTAACAGATCATTGTTTGAAGATTTTATTATATTTAATATAAAGTCGTGTAATATTTCCAATTGTACGAGTTTCTATACGTAAAGCTGATTAACAATCAGCTTCCCACTATAGGGAACTCGAGATCCACTTCTGGCTGTCGAAGACCGCAGGGATTTTTCGAAAATATCCCGAAAATATCTGACCCCATCCCTTAACCCTCCAGTAGGATTATTCATTAAAAAAATGGTGTGGAATGTGATATCATTCTGTACAATACATGAAAACTCAGCTAATAAGTTATTGCTTTACGGTATACAACAGATAATTTACATTTTCTGGCAACAGTAAACAATTTTTCCTGCTGTAAAACATGATAAACTATTACACATCTGTATTAATTTAGGTAAAATTAAATTGCCAAAATTAGAAATATTAACCAATACTAAACTTTATATAAATAAAACTATTAAAATAATTCTAAGCATTTTTAATACTTTGTAGTTTAAACTTACTTGTAAACGTTTATCTCAATGCATGCCTCTGTTCTACATCGAATGACAACTACTGTATGTTATATCTGTTTCCAAGACTGATTAACAAAGGAACACGTGACTAATATCCTTGGTATAATTCGATCGATGTATTTCATTCATTATATACACTTGTTATAAAATAATATTAATAAATCAATTAGATGAATATTCTTGAAATATTTTTGTATTTATTTTTGTATTAGGTGTAAAACAAATACAGAATTTCTAATTTTTATAATGTTTTGTGTACTTTACCTAGAAAAATACGCATTAAAGTTTGATTTAAGAAACATCGTATTATTTTATTTTCCATCTTTATAATTAACTCAATGTTTATTCTAAAAATTTTCCATTATTTGCGGTGTTTTTGTTATCCGTTGTTTTCTTACTTATCAATTTTACTGTTCGATTAAAAAATTTAAAAATTTTCGTCAATTGTATACATTAGATAACAGCAGTATCAGTAGCATAAACTATTACTGTATCTGCAATTTAAAACATGAGGTATTTATTTCATAACAACGTGAATTAGATATGTTTTTGTATGTATATATTAAATATATATTTTATTTGTGAATTAGATATGTTTATATGTATGTATCAATAAAGTGGTGCAATACTATCAAATAAAAGTCAAAGGAACTATACCTCTATAGATGACACTTCGCGTGATATAGCCCACCCGAAATCAGCCTACACCTACTTCCAGGTGCAATATGGTATAAAGAAAAGACCGACATGCGATCATTTACCAGATATTTGTGCCTAAATGTGGAAACCCAACGGCGGCAGTTTCGGTCGGTGCCATCTTGCTTACAGACTTCATGTTTACAGACTTCATGTTTGCAAGAAAGTTAAGTTATAGGCACGGCGGTCAGTGCCTGTAACAAACAACTGCATTAACTTCTACTGATCAAAAACAGTAGTTACCTTGAACTAGTACTACTGCCTACTTCTCACTTTCCGAATGTAGTCGTGCGATTCGGTGCTCGCCATCGGTCGCACGTCAGCGACCAGTTTTAGGGAATGTGGGGACGAGCCTCCATATTCCCTAAAACTATATCATCAAGTACTCCACGAACATTCAAGTGGGATACTCGAAGTCGACATAATGGCGTGTACTAAATAGTTAAACGCGATTGTCATTGCGGAGCGCGCGGCTGATTTCAAGGTGCTAAATCTAGCGAAGGGTCAGATGCAGAGGTATGGTTCCTTTGATTTTTTGCTTCTATAGGCATGTTCTACAGCTATTTAAGGTCCCAACAGCGTCATTCATATCTGCATTTGTACCCAGTTTAGAATGTTCAGTTCGCTGTCCCATCAGCGATTCTGCACCAATCTTATTTTTATTTGCTTATCAGGAAATCTAAATAATCTAACATCCAAAGATATATTTTTACAATTTAATTCGGCACAATAACCTATTCTTTCACTTATCGAGCATTTAAATACAGCTGACTCACATGAAACTTCGTATGAGATATACTCTATAGATAAGCCCAAAATGGTCTCTGCTGCAAATGATTACGGGATCGTGTCCAGACCTATCTATACAGTTCTTGATTTTCGAGGGCCAATTTCTATACTCCCCAAACGTCTATGGTAAGTTTGAATATCTCGTTCAAAAGATAATTGTTGTCAATAGAATACGTTTTTATTCTTTCATTATATTATTATTATTTTAATATTTTACTATAAATTTTTTACATTATAATAAAAATTTAATATCGTATTAAAAAATAACTTTTTCAAATTATTGTCTATTTGGCAAATCATATCGAAGGAGCTTGACATTTTCAGTACGGTAGAATAACTAATGTTGACAATGAAGAGATCTAATCGATGTACTCTTACATGGTGAAATTTGACCTATCGACCGGAAGTTTCACCAGATCCTTACAGATAAAGAGAAAGTATTGAGTTTAAAATTTGAGCTTTCTAGATCCAGTAGCTGTTTCTCTATGAGCGTCTGCAGTGACGATGGAAAAAAGAGAATAAAACTTTTTGACGATGCTTGCGCTATTTAATTGCTTATCGGTTACCTCTTAATAGAGAAATCTGAAATTTTTCACTCTACCTAACAAAACAATTATCTATCCAATGAGATATTCAGAATTATCTTATGCCTTTGGGGGCAGAGTAATCGATCCCCAAAAATCGGCAATTCTGATTCCTGTACAAATACTGTCTAAATGCTTCCACATGAAATTTTATTTGATGTGGAAACATTTAGAGATTAAAACATCCCTCTTCAAGAGGGAATTCTCTAGTTTTTGCATAAGTTATACACCACTGATATCATAGTTCGCTTCTCATACAGTTTTGCCCAGAAACTGTATGAGAAGCAAACTGTGTAAAAATCCCAGAAACATTCTAGTTTTAATATCTATACGTTAAGCTTGTTTTAGCTGTTTTTGTGGTTACTTCTCCAATGTTAACGTCTTTACAATCCACCATGAAAACAACAGTTTCTTATGGTTACCGTAAAAAGCTGTTGATAGTGAAGCATAATGAAGAAAATATTGATATCATATTTACAAATAAGTAATTAAATATGAATTCAACCAAAGATATTCGTCGCGTGTTCTTATGTTAATCATTGATTAGGAAGATACTGTATAAGTTATATAATGAACAGCAATAGATGTCATTATATCCAAAACAGAAATATAAAAGTAATATAATCGTTTATATGTATGATACAAATATTATAATATATATATAGCATAAAGAGATATGTCTATAATTAATTCTTACAAGATTCATAATATAGAATTGTTTATGTCGCCAATTTATTTTATATAACTTAATATACATATATATTAAGTCTATCGGTTTTTATAGCACGAAAAATTATTTTGCTATACTTATAAAATGTAAATAACTTAATAGAACAGAGCATTTACATTACCTAAAGGATTACTTCTTGGCGGTTGAAGTTATTATAATAGTTATTATAATAATTATAAAACTCGTTCATTGTCATAAAATTTCGGATCTGTCACCCACAAAGTGATCTTGCAAGCCAATAATCCAATTCTTATTAGTTAGTCCTTTATACAAATCTTCATTCTTAAACAATCTGCACCAAAGTTCGTATGAGTATTACTTAGTCCCTGGAATCGACATTAAGCTATACATTACCCCAAAATATTGAGGTAGTATATTGATTCCGTATCATTTACGTGTAGCGTCATTTGTTGACAAAAAAATTAAGCAAATGCTAATTATTGTTGGTTTGTTTATAATAAATTGTTGGTTTTTGTTCGGATTGTTGGAATCAGGACAATAAATGAACATTTTAGTTACTAGGACCCTTGTTTTTATTCTCCTCAAAACCCAAGATACGTGGGGCATACGTCGCTAGTACATATAATTTTACGAATGAAGAATTAAATGTACAGGTATACAATAAATACAGTGATATTATTCTTTCTAACAACAGAAAATAAAGTAGAAAAACACGGTAGACATTTTCTAAACCTTCGATTTAACTAAAACATTTACCGATAAACAATTTTAACTACAGTAAAGTAATAAAGAAAGGTTTCTTTATTACTTTATTATAATTGTATAAATTATTTATATGCCATTAAATAGAACAAATTACTGCAGTTTATTACGAGAAAATAAATCGTCCATAAAATTTGCTTTGAAATTTACTTCTTTGTCCTGATTTTTAGAACAATAGAAAAGTGTTAAGTAACGAGGTCAAAGTACTGTATTTAGCAAGTAAATTGTAAACATTTGAATGATAAACTACAATTGAAATATTACAATCATTTTATATTTAATCTTCAATCGCACGCGTAAGTCCTTCACGCTAATCACGATAATGGTTTAATACATAGAAACTTTATTGTTTCTATGTATTAAACCATTATCGTGCCATCTTTTAAACAAATATATATAATTTATTTCAACGTATTCCTCCCATATACTCAATTTAAGTAACTTATACAAAATAATTTATACAGTTTATAACAAATTTATTAGCAAATAACATAAAAATTTAAGATATAAAAATATTCATAAATTTATTATTAATTTTATCTCACTTTTAATATTTTATTAAGGACTTTTTTCTGTTTCATGCCTTTTTTCCTAGAATTTCTTCCGGTTAATCTTCAAGTAATTCATTAACGAGATTCTTCTTTTTACCGATCCACCTTGTATATATAATTATATATATATATAAATTTTAAATTAATTAACAAACTTTCTTTTCATAATTTATTTTATTATGCTTGATACACTATTAAATAGTTAAATGTTAAGGATTAAAAATTATATCTAATCAGTGGTTTTATAATGCAATAGAGTTTGTTCCAAAAGTCAGTCAAGTTGCTTTCTTATTCAAATGTTTAGTCATATTTTTTCATGTTATCAAGAAATTTTGTAAGTAAAAATCACGTTCCTGCGGCTGGAATATACAAACTAAATCAATGTTAACTGACTTTTAGGCTATTATATTTGCCCAAACCTTAACCTTATATCTCTCTATATATATATTATAATGAAAGAAAAGCTAATAACTGAAGTGAATGCCAACTTCTGGGTATGTAAACATTAATCAAAACTTCATATTTTGCTATGGTAATTCTTCTGATAGATGATAGTAAGGTAAACTAAATGATGATTATAATTCAAGAGCAGATGCTCAGAGTTCTCTATACGAAGCTAATTCTACAAAATTCAATCAAATTTAATATACATACTGTCCTGAGTATGCAGTTTCGATTTTCGAAAAAAGTTTATTTCCGAATCAGTCACTGGGGCAAAATTTGGCGCTTTTATTTTCCTGAAGTGTATAATTAGGTGCGTTTTCTATCAAAATTCTGGTATAAAACCTTGCAAATTCTTCCGCCTTCGAGTGTATTTTGAGGTGAATGCATTTTTTTTTAGAGCATGGAGATGAAAAATACAGAGCCATACCTCTGATGTAATCGTCGATTCTACATTTCAGATATGAAATTGGAATAAAATTATTTCAGTTTGTTTACTAACTCCCGAAATTCATCAGTAAAACTTTGTACATGAACATTAAGGAGACAGAAGCGAAAAACTAGTACCCAGCGGCTAAATTTTGAAGTTGGGAGAAAATAGCTTTTATATAAATTTCGTTTCATACGGTTTTATTCAACAATGTATTTTTAATCCAGAACGAACAATTATTTATTGTGACTTCATCACAATGTCATGCTGCAATTTTTAATCATATTTTTTTTAAATGTATTTAATTTGAAATATATGCTCACCACCTCAAATTAGTAGTGTCTTGCCCTTGTACATCATACTTTTCCTGTTATCAATAGAGTCGTGCTAGGTATCCATCTAACTCCATTCGGAGGAACATTTTGAATTGAAATGACGTGACTTTCGGTGCAAAACGGAAGTACTGTACATAATCGGGGCCTCTTGCATCTACTCTTTTCACATCTGGTCTCGTCTTTCATCTCACTCCGATCTTGAGCTGAAGGAAAGACGGACAGACGGACGACAGTAAGAATTTATAGGTCTACAATGTTTTCAAAATTGCAGCCGTATGGATTAATAAAAAGCGTTCATGACAATAGTGTTTTAGAATAGAATTATAGTTTTCATGCAATACTTCATTGTAGAAAACCCGATCGCTCTTGCCTCATTTACATATAGTAGGTTCACAAATGTAGGCTACCAACCGCAATAATGTATTAAACATACAAATAAACATACACTAGGAAAAAAAATTATATATTTACCTATATATGTACAATCTTTTCCTAGTGTAAATTAAAAAATAAATGTAGTATATTACTAAACAAATTTTTTAAAATGTATTTTTGAAATTTCTAAAAATATTCTGATACAAAAATTATTTACAGTAGACCCCCTATAACGTTGTAGATACGTTCCTCGTTATACGAATTTCGCGTTGTAGGAATCCTTAAATACGTGAGCCAATCACAGCCCGACACGTGTGAAGTTTACGGACTACGGCTGTTTGAAAGGTTTTCTTCCATAAAATTACTATTCTAGACTAATTCGACTCAACATTTCCAAAATACGTATATTTTTGGGGGGGAATAATCCGTATAAACTACGCTATAAACAAAAAATTGCAGGATTACTTACCGAGTGTGCACCGTTCGACGTCGCCATTGCTCAAGCTTGTTTTCGTCGCGGAGCAACGCACCAAACCGCGGCCGCGATTTCTTATAAGTTATTTTTCTGCGAAAACTTCGTTGAACTTTGGAGACATCATTAATATAAATAACTTTTATGGCCGTTGAATAAGAAATGTTTCTTTCACAAGAAATGTATAAAATTACAGTACTGTATTAGACTTACGGTACCTAATTTACATACTGTACAGACGATAGTAAACAACTTACTCGCCTAAACTCTACATAGCGTGGCGCTGGACGGCAGAAAGTATATATATAATTATAATAAAGTTACAATAAATTAAGTTAATATATAATTATATATACAGTACCTAATTTATATATAATTAATATATAATTATATGTACAGTACCTAATTTATATATAATTTATATATAATACTGTACAGACGATAGTAAACTCAATTTACCCGCCTAAATTCTCCGTAGCGTGGCGCTGGACGGCGGAAAGTAGTTCGGCTGCCCGATGACGTTTTACCGAATTATAGGAGTTTTTTTACCAGGTTTGTACAGATATCGTAGCAATTTTTTCGCCGTCTTATAGGAATCGTAATTATAGGAACCCGTGTTATAGGGGTCTACTGTATACCATTATGAACTTGTAATTGCCATTTCTATGTGACTGCACGTCTATCAGATTGACTTGAAATCTTGAGTTTAACTCCGAACTGGCCATTGGTTTCACAATACCTTGTTTAGATGCATTATGTTTCATTTGACATTGTTTACATAAATTTAAATACAACGTTACAACTTTATACGTAGCATTCTTGTATTTAACTTGCAATTCTTTTAGCATACGTGTTTTTCCTCCGTGACCTATTTTCATATGAGTTTCGGATAGTAGTATACTGAACAATTCATTATTGATAACATAATACTGTATATTCGTTTCTCCTGGTTTTAATGGTAGTATTAACTTCTCATCGTCATTAATTTTTAAAATGTCAAAACGTTTTAATCGTCTGTAATCCAAAGGTGAAATGCACTTAGTTTTAGCAAAAATCACTTCAGAAAGTATTTCAGAGTACTTTTCTTGAGAAAAATAAAAACAATTGTCTTCTCGTTTAATTGCAATTAATGCACGTAACTTCAAAAAAAGTTCATGGTTCTCTGCGGTAGCCATTCAATATAAATTAGGGAACCGGATAAAAAATAAAAATTAATCAAACGTTGCACGCACCAGCAAACCATTCATAAGACTGACAAACAGCAGAGTATTCGAGAATATAACAAATAGATGCCACGTGACCTTAATCGCGGCAGAGGATTTGGCAAAAGAGAACAAAGGATTTGGCATTCTTGTCGCTTCTCTCTGGCTGTGTCTTTTCGGCTTGTCGTTTAGACCTCCACCAGAGCTTATCATGTCGACATATACCAGCGATGGTTCGAATGTATAATAATATAACCAAATATTCGATCTTTCACCGACGTATTTCGTATGTGTTGACATTCACCAGAGAATATTCTCTAATTTCGGTCTTTTATGATAACATATATTGTATATATAAACGATAGTTTTGGCAAACTTTAATTGGTGTATTCAAATTTAAACTGACCAATAGTGTACGGTTCGTGCACAACACGAAATCATATATAATCGCTCAATTCTAAATGCTTTACATAAGCATAATCCTATTACATAAATACAATAATTTACTTACGGAAACACAACAATTGGAAATATGATGATGGCGCCTGTTATTATATATGCCATACCAGTAAAGACGTGAATGGTAGCATTAAAGATTTGAGTAAATATTAAATTACCAATAACAGGAACTAGAGATTCGCAAGACGATAAAAATGCAAAGATTTTACCTGAAAAAGAAAATATTTTACTTACTAAACTTTAAAATTCCTAATATATTTCATCAACTTTATGAAATACCTAACTCTTCTTCGGATACAATTTTAGAGAGTCTGGCTCTCACTGCTAACAAACCCATAGTGCCAAATATACCGAAGGCGTTACCTATGCAAAAAGTCCTAGTTAATATATAGATTTTTATTCTATAATAACAAATATAAAAATAAAAGTACACATTTTAACCTAAATAGTAGATCCATGTTTTGTATGCAAATCCTTTAACGATATCTGATGAAAATGTGGAAATACTACCAATTATACCCAGGCAATAATCTTTCATTTTGAAAATTTTTACGAGTAGAGGTACAGAGAAAACGACGACGAAGATTCCAGCAGTAATAAATGAAGAAGTGACATTAGAATAAGTAGTTACGTCCCAATTGTACATTTCCTTGGCAAAGTAAAATGCAAATCCGCTCATAGCTACAACAATTATAAAAATGTTAACTTTTTATATTTATAATTTAAATACGACTAAAATTGTTTAAATAACACGTACTAACCTGTATAATTGGAGATCAAAGCGCACATTGAACCTATCAATAAGAAAATTTCCAATCTAGTTCCGTTCGGCCGAGGCTTCGTTACTGCATCATAACTTTCTTTAAAGTTTTGGAAAGAGAATAAATCACAAACAATTTTACCGTTCAAAGCATTTCGTAAGTTTCTACTGTCTTTAACAACTATAATTAACCACATTATAGCCATTACTTGCGAAACTATTCCTATTATATACACGTATATATAACCATACTTCTTATAAACCATTCCACCAATAAATGTGCCAAGTGGAATACCCACACCATACGCTAATTCTAGGAGTGCATATTTTATGGTTCTTTGTTTCTTGGTGGTTTGATCGGAGATTAAACTGTACATACACATCAAGGTTACTGTGAAACCTCCAACCATCCAATATAACGGGGCGTCAAAATAAATTATATTTAATATAATACCAACGTTTTCCAATCCTAAACCAATTATTGCCAATATCACGGGCAATTTTCTTCCATATTTGTCACTCCAAGGTCCTATAACCATAGAAAAGAATACCGCTGGAACAGTTCGTATTAATGTGTTATATAGGTTATAGTTGTCTGCAGTCGTTTCTACCTTTTCTCTCTCCTTCGTATAATTATCAATATTATTACACACATTAGCAGAAAATCCGTAAATATTCAGACAAGCTTTATCTATAAAGATATTTTGTGAGCATACACCTCCCACGACATAAGAAAACATGAAGAGAGCCATAAACGGTTCGATTGTTATGCTTTTAAGAAAACGTGAACATGTGAATTTATCTGTTTGTTCAGACATTTGAACTGGCGGTATAAGTGGAGTCGATTCTTCCTCTTTCCAATTTGTGTCTGATAATACAGGTTCGTCCATTTCATCTACAATAGTCATTTTGCTCAATGATGTTTTTTCCATATTAAATAATAGAAACAGTTAGAAGAAAAGCAATAAATTGTTCTATTGTTCCTTTCAATAGACAACTGTATGTTATATTTGGAAAAAGTAAACAATAGTTTGCAGCATTGTTTTATAATTTTCAAACCTGTAAAAAAGTATTTACTTGGATAAATTTCTAGCAGTAAAATATCACGTTATATTAATTATACGAAATTTACTTTTAAGTGTCTTACCTCATAATGATTTTCCATTTTTTTTTTTGTTCGTTTTTATGTCATTTAAATTTATTACTCAATCAAATTTTGCAAAATCGCATTTTTTTAAATGTTAAAATATTATTTCTATAATAATAATAATATTGACAATAACTTGAGAGTCCAGCTACACTTATCAGGTTACCTGTTTTAATATTGTACATATACTCGTGTAACCTGAAAAATTGTACGAGTTTCTATAATAAGACGGATCAACATCGGACGGCCGAATTGGTTATAAACGCTACCGCTATTAGAGACTCAGGTAAAACATTTTAGGGAGTTTTCCAGGGTGATATTTCCCTAAGTCGTCGGTCCCCGCTCCTGATCGTCCGATCTCCACCTCTCTGAGCCTGGCCGAACCCACGATGAATACAAAAAATTGTAGTTCTGGCCTCTTATTTCTCAAAGAACAAATGAACTTAAGAAATATTAGATTAAACATTTCTATTATAAAAAACACAACTAAAATACCTTAATATTAAATATTTTATGCATTAAATTAATTTTTTAAGTTATTATTTAACTCTGCATTAAAGTTATTTATTAAACAACAGGTGTGTAATGTGACATTATTAAGTACACGTACTACAAAAGTCAGCTTAATAGCTTATTGTTTTACAAAATAAAACGAATAATTTAGATTTCATAGCTGCATTAAGCAATTCTTTCCTGTTATAAAAGCCAGCAAAAACATTTTACATCTTGCAAAAATTGCGAAAAAACAGAAATATTAACCGATATTATAATGCATATAGAACCCTTAAAATGATTATAAACATTTCTATTTATTTAAACTTACTTGTAAACGTTTATCTCACTGCATAATTCTGTTCTGCATGGAATGACAACTGCTGCAGTTTCTATCACTTTCCGTCCGAGTCATGATTAACAATCGAACACGTGACCAACACCCTTGGTACGATTCAATCGACGTATATAATTATACATCTGTAAATAAATGTAAATATAGCAACGTCAGATATATATTAAATATTTTTAGTTTAGGTGTAAACCAAATACGAAAGAATGTTTTATTATTCTTTGATTAAAATTATAGTAAAATTTTCAATTAATTGTATATATTAGATAAGAGCAGTATTAGTAAAATATTTTCAGTAATTTAAAACATGAGTTATTTCTTATAGTTGTGAGTTAAAATGTTATATATTGATATATAAAGAAAATCGAAACAACTAGTAATTTCTGTAAATAGATTCAAAACCAAAATGGTAGATAAGCGACACTTAGTAATTTGTTTAATCACTTAGAAGTATTGTCACTATTAATAAATATTAAATTTGTAAAATTATTATTAACCCGTCGGCACGCGCCTAGTGCCGATTAGGCACTAATCGATTTTTAATTAGTTCGTGTAAAAATTCTTATGGTGTGAAAAATCTGAAAAAATTATTACCTGTCTAATTTTTCTTTAATTTTACGATGCGCAATTCAGTTTTTGCTTAAAGCGTCTCATTATTTTTATTTAATTATTGGTGCCGAATCGGCACTATGGCGCGCGTGATCTCGGATTTCAATTTTCAAATTTCCCGCCAGTCGCTGTTACTAAAAATAGCTGCAGCTACGGCGCGCGCTTCTTCGCTTATAATCGCGTTATTATAAAGCGAATAACTTCTAAAAAACTGAAATTTGACCGAAAATAATTTAATTTCTTTCATTGGTATTTTTTAATCATTTTATAAAGTTTTATGACACCATCACATTTCCCTGAGTGGAAGTAACCAATTTGTTAACCATTTGACCCTCGGCTGACAGAGAAGGAAGTTTTTGAAAACAAAGTAATAGAGCGTTTAGCAGTTTGTTGTTTTTCACAGTGGAAGACTAGTAAGTTTATATAATAGACTCTAGTAAGACTTATTAGAGTCTATTATTTTCCAGAGAATAAATAATAGAGTTGAAAAATAGCACAATTCCGTGAAATTTAACAAATCTGATGTCAATAAAGGAAAGTTGAAGTTATTTATAGTGAGTTGATATTTTATAAGTTTAGTTTTTGCATTTATAAATCAAATTTTAAAAAATATAAATTTTTTATTTAAATAAATTTAAATAAAAAAATAGAATTTTTATTATTTAAATATAAATTCTATATTTTAACAAGTATTTTATACTGTTAGATAGTAGAGAAATCGAGTATTTAAGCATTTACTGTATATCAGTAAAAATAAAAAAATTGCGTTAATTTGGTTTATATATTTTGCCGTTACATTGCGCATGTAAGCTTTAAACTACAGTCAGAAATATATATTATTTTTATATGAATTTATTAATTATAATAAACATACATTATGTCTAAAATTTAATTAAAATAGCACTCTCTAATTAACATCTTAAATGAAGAAGTAATTAAATCGGGTCCCGCCGCCATCTTAAATAACGCGCGACGGTAAATAATCGATTTTGAGCGCGTCGCGTTGAATCAAATTAAATAATTTATAAAAATTAAAATAATAAGTATGTTTACAAAATAATTGACTATATCTATTCGCAATAGTACTGTAAAACACATCGTACTTATAGTTTAGCATTTCTGATAACAATTAATTAATTTTTGAATTTTTTTATATTTTATATATAAAATGCGAATAAAAAAACATAAATGCGTAAAACTTAATTTAAAAAATATCTGCAACTTCAGAAAACACATATATATTATAATCTATCAAAAAAAGTTAGTTAATAATAATTAAAATCGAGAAAAAAAATAAAACTTTCGAGGTAAAATAATTTCTGTGGTAAAAAGTGAGGTAAGCGATCACGTGACGCCCGTCTCCCCATCGTCTATAACCAAAACGGCCGAGGGTGAAATAAAAGCGAAAACATCAGTAGAAGTAAAAACAAACATCGGCGCGTATCTAGGACTATATATTTGAACGGGAGCGAAGATGAAACACGACACTTTGTAATTTATGATAATTACCTTCTAATATTAAAAAATTAAAATCATCAAAAAATTATAACAAAATTAAAATTTTTTGACTAAACTCGACTACAAACATATCTTAGAACTGGATTAAAGTAAAAGTACCCGTTTTTCGACGCTAAATTTTTATTAATTAATTTTTTAATTTGGTGCTTAATTGACCGAGCGCGCGTAATTTTTATTTGACGGGGCACGCGCGTGCCGACGGGTTAAACTGTTATTTGGAGTATTTTATTAGAATATTTGTTTTTGAATCTGAAATTAGAATGACTTCATCACAATGCCTGGCTGAAATTTTTAATCATATTTTTAATTTAGTTAATTTAAAACGTATGCTCTTTACCTTAACCTTTCAACAGTGGAGTAGTCAGACGTGGCGCTACCACGTCTGACTACTCCATTGTTGAAAGGTCGCTTGTGGAGAAAAGCGTGGGAAATTTTTTACGAATTTTCCCACGCGTTTTTCTCGTTTCCCTTCTGGAAAAAAATTTTTAAACAGTTACTTCTAGTAAAGAAAAAATCTTTATTGTCACATAATTCTTTTTTATGTGAATATTTTTTCGCGGTAATTTTTGTTTAAATTTTTTTTTTTAAATTTATATTAAATAGTCTTATGATTTTCTATCCATCACGATTTTTTCAAAAGTTTTCAATTTATTTTCAATTTTATATAATTTTTTTAAAGTTTCATGCATTTAAGTCATGACGATTTTTTCCAACCTGCGAATCAAATTCAAGAAAATGTAATTGACAGTTAACGAATTTCATCCACGATTATAGATGACGTAACGGTTGTTATGTTTACAACTACAGTAATACTTCAACTTACGCTAATCCGACTTACGCGAACCCGGAGTTACGCGATTTTCAAATCTCGTCCATTCGTCTTTTGTTTGAGCGCCACGCAACTCTTGATTACTCACTCCCCCATACTATTGTTCGGCTTACATGTTCGGACGTGTCGCGCGGAATCGACACATAGCTACAATTTATTTTGTGTTAGGCTATTTATTTCTGTGTTTGTTATATAATATCTACGGGGACTTGAGAGACTCTATGTGGTAATTTCTTGTAACCGTGAACGAATCAAAAGACGAGATAAGATTAACGAGAACATTTATTAGCTTATATACAACCGATTTGGATTTTGCACAAATTGCGAAATTATAATCCGACTTACGCGAATTCGACTTAAACAGTTATCGCTCGGTCCCACCTATCGCGTAAGTTCGGGGTATTACTGTAGACGTCTGGCGAGCTAACCCCCCCCCAGACTGTAAAGTGGGTGAAGGTTGTCTCGTGTTCTACTTTTCTTTCTGTAGCATATTCTGAAACAAGTTCTAAATTTGCAGTAAAATTTCCACCTTATATCCATTAGAAACAGCGCAAAATGTATTCATTTACGAAATAAAAATTTATCGCAGTGAACTTCGAAAAAAATGAGAAACACTAAGCCGAACTCTACGAAATCTGGTGGGAACTGATGCTTATGTCATAAGCTGAAAATGTCACCTGGCATTGAAACTTTCCTGCTAAACACTAAAAATTTTATATAATTATTTTATTAACCCAGTCAAATTTAAATAATATAAAATGTCTAGATCTGTTTAATAAATGCACTATTACAAATATGCAANTTTATATTATCAATAGTTATAATAGATATCTTATTTTCACTTTTAAAAACAAACTAAGCCAGAACAAACAGACGATCGCAGATATGACTATCAAGGACATTCTGTAATTCTTTTTAAATTTTTAATAATTCACTCAAAGATTTTAAATGTTGCTTTTATGTATTCACAAATATTTATTTGCCCAACTTGGTTTAAAATTTGTACAAACTGATTTTGTACATTTCACAATTTACGTTCATTTCCACATAAATGAGTCTGAAGGAAAGCGGAAACGGAACCTACGTCAACTTCTCTAGAGATGTATTAGTGATACCAGTTCTAATGTGATTTTGAAGTTGCTGTTCAATGAACTGCTTTTTGAAATGTTTAAACACGCTTCGTAAAAGTAATAGTTTTGATAATCAATAAAGAGCGAAAAGTTGGTATAAAAAGCGACTTTTAAATTTTTGTTTTTCAATGTTTAGCAAATTTGTAAATGAAGCCAGAATCTGATGTAAGCAGCGAGGAAAAATGTTCATATTCGAAATAGTGTTATAGATGCTTGTATAATTTATCTAAACACTACATTTTACATATATTTTTTGTAAATATTTCTTTTATCAAATAAAATAATTTGTACATCTTGTAAGTTGAATGATTATGCAAATTACATATAAAAAAATCACTGCGCAAAATCTCCCGCGAACCATGGGATGACTGTAACGTCACGTGGCATTGAAACTTTCCTGCTAAACACTAAAAATTTTATATAATTATTTTATTAACCCAGTCAAATTTAAATAATATAAAATGTCTAGATCTGTTTAATAAATGCACTATTACAAATATGCAAATTAGATTTGAAACAATCACTGAGCAAAATCTCTCACCAAGTTGTTAAATATAGAACGATCACGTGACTAAAAGCTAACACCAAGAAATACGAAAAAATATGTTTAAAATTTAATGTTTCTGTACAAATTAGTAAATTGTAATAACAAATTTCATCAAGAGAATAATTTTCAGCTTACATAAACTGTACTGTACAATAAATGATTGTTTCTTCGAAAGAAGTCGATATACACGAATAAATAATACAGTAGAGCGTCGTTTATCCGAATCAATTAGGGACTGGTGTTGTTCGGATAACTTATATTTCGGATAACCGATTATATGCCAAAAAAAATATTAACCTATCCCGTGTTGTAATTTTTCTCCGTTGCGTGTCGCTTCGCGTTGAATTTTCGTCGATGTTAAACCTAACGTAAACTTTTTAAAATAATAATCGTGGCTATTGTATTGTTAAAAATGATTTTTTTATGTTTTACAAATTGA